GTGTGTGTGTGTGTGTGTGTGTGTGTGTGTGTGTGTGTGTGTGTGTGTGTGTGTGTGTGTGTATCAGTTTTAGTAGATGCATGATTCTCCTCCACCACAGTTCAGGTGTAAACTACGTCTTTTATGTGACATCTATGTGGACAAAGTACCTTTAGTTTAAGTCAAAGGACTAGTCAGTGTCAGATATTCACTATTAAAATGTTTACACAACAAATATAAAACTCTAGTATGCACATGTACTTTAAGTATTTGTGACTGTCCCACGATGCACTCTTTTTCTTGCCCTGTGACAGCTGAGATTAGCTGCACTGTGCCTGCAACCATGAACTGGATGATTGGTGGGTGCCCAGGTAGCTGCTATACTTTAACTTTAGCTTTACTGATTCCAGAGGCAGCAGAAATAAACACAAAGCAAATCTTTGAGTTCTACCATCAGCCTGAATAATCTCAAAGTCCACGAAAAGAAAAGGGTCAATAAATCCATCAAACTCAGAAACAGACAGGGAATAAACGGGAACGACAACAACAACGAAAGGGAAAGGCAGAGCTTTAATGCTCACACAGGAAATGGATATGGGAGGGTGACGAGACACAGCTGAAACAAATGTAAACAACAAGGTAAGAGTTTTGTGTTCAGAGACATAACATTTAATTGACACAGTGCATTAACTAAAAACAAGTATCAGAGACTAAAAACCTGATCAAGAGAATGGTAACAGAAAAACCTTCAGTTCGACCAAACACATTTGGAAAAACGAACATGTGTCGGACACACTCTGCTTTTTTTGAGCTGTTAAAATCAGTAGTTTCACTTTTACCTCCAAGTAAAATGAGTCCCACCCATGTAACCTGGTGTATTCCCTTTGTTATCCTAACAACCAGGAAATAAGATCCATATTTGCAATAACCGAAATTATCTTTTAATATTGTCCCGCAGCTTTGTGCAGGTATTATGAACCAACATGTGTGTCTTGGGAAGGCAGAGCTGTGGGAGATAAGGAGCATCATTTTTTTCGCCTGCTGCGCTGCCTCATTTACAGAGGTCCACGGGATAATCACATCCCATTTTCTGCTCTTTATTCGGCCGAGGAGCAGTCAGAAAGAGCTTCTCTCTTCCTTTACAGCTTCCTATTCTGCGGCCTCTCAGCGCCGTAATCTGCCGTCCCTATTCTGCCTCGAGGCCACATAGAGGCTCATATTGTGTGTCTGCTGTGGGAGCAAAGTCGCTGAGAACGCTCCACGTTTCAGAGGCCTTGTTTGGGCTGTTGTCGGCTCCGGTTACCCCGCCTCTCTCCCTCTTCCAAGGCACAGGAGTCTTATTTTACCCAGGGAGCTCTCGTCTTTGTGCTGCCAAATATTGTCAGCCATTGGACAGTAAAGGAGACCAATCTCCTCTCAGTTCTTTGAGTCTTCCTTCTGCCAGGAAAGCTGCATTGTTACATTGCAGCAGCAGACCAGGAGAACTTATATTACACAAAAATCACAACAAAACTGATTGTGCAAAAAATTTCATTAGCATGCACTTGGCGACAGTGGGAAGGAAAAACTCCCTTTTATAGGAAGAAACTTCTAGCACATCTTCAAACCTCCAGACTTAGTCCGGTTCAGGGAGGAGCAGCCATCTCCCGAGTACAGTTTGGGGTGTGGGGGAAAATGAAGAGAACAGGAATTGAGTGATGATCAGAAAAATTATATCAGTATTTAAAGTTTAAAAGAATGTGGCTTTAATCTGAATATCGAGATTTCTTTTGATCTCCATAAAGCAGACAAAGGGATCAAAAAGGCTTTGCATTGCAACATTTGTGCTAAAAGGGATCATTGGGTTTCTTCCAATGTCTCTATAATTTTCTACCATCTTGACATTACCTTTCATAAAGATAAATATCATCATTGCTCCTCACTACAGTGGATCTTTCAGGTTGTGAAACATCCCTTATAGCGATATTCTCAGTGCCTAAACTTTTGGCTGCTTTGCTTCTTGAACGTTCTTCGGTGTCTGATCACCCCCAGCTGGGTGATGTGTAAGACTTTACTTGCTGGTGCTCACATGCTTTCTCTTGGTCCATACTGTATTGTTTTCTCTTTTGTCCCTCTTCAGCCAGAAACTGAGTTTACTCGAGCGTGTTCGCCTTCCTAATTCAAGACCGTCTGTGGTGGCAGTAAAGAAGCTGACAGGAAACGCAGACTCCATCGAGGAGAGTCCCTCCAAGGAGCCCAAACCTGGTGGCTTCACTAACCGGGAACGCTTCCGCACTGCCTTCCGAATGAAGGCCAACACACTCCGCCAGAGCTCTGAAGGTTTGAAACCAAAAAAGCACGGATAGCTCAGAGAGCTTTTGTTTTTCATATTGGTCTAATCCTTTTTTTACTAATGCAAAATTCGTAATGTGTTTTTCTCTCAGATGCCGGAGGTGTGGCAGATCCAGCCTTAGAGGAACGGGGTTTCCCCCCTGACATCCTCCTGGAGGAGATGATCCCCACACTGAAACTGGTCATCAGGGCAGTCAGGTTAGGGTCAAGAACTGGGCTCTGTGGTCCTTTAAAGTCATCATTTAATTGATTTAGACCCAATCAATTAAAGAGTATAAATTGATACTGATAAGAAGAGAAAAATGTCCTATACTGTGATGCGCAGATGGGTGTTATGAACAAGGAAATGTTTTCTGGTTGCTCGATTGCTTTGTCTTCAGTCAGTGATGTAGACTGACTGAGTAAGGACATTATGACATCACTGTTGGATTGGAGAAAGGAAAATGTTATGAAGTCTCATAAAACCCTGGACAGGTCATCAGTGACCTGCTGGCTGTAAAACGCTTAAATGCAGTCACATGGATTAGCTAGAATCCAAACGTACAGACTGGTCAGTTCTTCTTCACCTGCTGAACAAACTGACAGGACAGAAAACAGAACTTTGTAGTAACAAATTCAAAATGTTTATTTACACCTTAAAATATCAATAACAACTTTTGGTCAGTTTTCTGCACAGTATGATAGTACGATTGGTCCTCGCTGTATGTGCTTTCAGAAAACTCTGCAGCAATCAAAATTCAACACAGTGAGCTATGCCAACCACAGAGTGTGGCAGAACTCACACATGCTGACAGTGCATTGGTAAATCTATAGGCCACACAGCTGACATAATGCAGGAATTCAATCTAGTGCAAGGGCCTGCGAGATGAGTGATTAACCCTGTGAAAGTGCTGCTTCCTTCCACTCCATTATATCAGTGTTGAATGGGTTTCTGAATAGGATGCTCAGATCTGGAGGGTTTTAGTTTCAGGACCCAAGACTTTCTGCCAAACACTGGAGCTCGTGCAGCAGCAGTAGCTGACTCTGAAAGTAGGAGATCTGTAGGACAAAAACCGGAGCTCAGTGGGTGGCAGTGATGCAGGACTGAAAGATGCTGGGCTTACTATAATGCACCGGACAGAAAATGTCACGCACGGTTTCTGTGAAGGGGGCAAATTACACATAACTGACAGATGTTACCTCTGTAACCATCAGTTTGTGGAGTCCTGTTATGAAGCTGTTAAGTGTTAGCAGCTCCAAATCTGATGTCATAAAGTTCTTTGAGGTAAAGAGGTGTCACTTACATTTAGTTGCTGGAAGAAAGAAATGGTGTATTGTTTTGTTTATTCACCAACTTGTCAAGCGTACTGCTCCGAACTGTTATTGTGACAAGGAAGAAGAACCTTAAGGTGAAGACCAAAAGAAATGGTTCTTTAATACATGAGGACTCATTTGGATCCAGTAGGAGGTTGTAGTGTTGTTTTTTGGCATTTGAAGGATCCACTTTAAAGGCTTTCTGGAAATATCCAGCTGGGAGGAGACCCTGGACTAGACGGGAGGAATCATATGGTAATACCTGCCTTCCTCACAGCTCCAGTTTGACACTGCAGTGATGCTTCACAGAGTTTTGCAGATGCCACTTGGAAATAGTATAACAATCGTGATGAGTAAGCAGATACGTAGGCTACTCGTGATTGTTTTTGCTATTATTGTTCATTTTGCACCTGTTACAGAAAAGACAAAAATGGATGAAGAAGTTATTTGTGTTTGAGGGAAGCTGTTAAAAGTAACAATTTAACCTTGGAGTGCTTTCAGACTACGAGACTGTTGCACTGTTTTTGTACTTTTTCCTTGGATAACAAATCGACTGTGGTGTGTTTCTATTCAAGCTTTCAGCTTACTGTTTGACTTTGAGCAGAAGCGATGAGGCTTTGGCTTGTTGTTGTACTCCACAGCCTCTGCACTGGTTCAGTTCCCATAATTAGTGTCTCCCAGTAGATAAACCGATAGAAACACGGGATCATGTATCAATTTTTAGTTTTCCGCCTTAAATCTATTTAATAGTAACATGGTGCCAGTACTTGTGCTTAGTAAGTGTGGGCAAAGAAATATGGAGTGAATCTACCAATAATTGAGGGATTTCTGGTGGTCGCTCTTCCCACGGCCACTGGTGGCTCCACTGTGTCAGTGGAAAAGGGGTAAAAGACCGCAGACAAACATTAGGGCCAGTAAATGTAGTGTTGTTTAGATCAGATATGTTAATAATGTTAAGATCTAAACCAGTGAAATGCTTCTCATTTGTTTGATTCTTGCATTCTTGTTTCCTGACAAACACGTGTCTAGTGTGGTAGCTGACGTTTGTTAACTGTGTCTGATGTTTGAGAAGTGTTTTCATTTGAAGTGTTTGTTGCCACACAGGATCATGCAATTCCTCTTGAACAAGAAGCGGTTTAAGGAAACTCTGAGGCCTTATGATGTCAAAGATGTTATCGAGCAGTACTCTGCTGGACACCTGGACATGCTCTGTAGAATTAAATACCTCCAGACGAGGTGAGTTAGTCTTTTACACACGAGGCTGATCAGTTTGAACGAAGCTAATTTTCTCTTTTCCTCATGCTCATTATTTTTTTTATTTTAAGGATTGACATGATTCTTGCCCCTGGACCTCCTCTCACCCCAAAACACAAGAAAACTCAGAAAACACCCTTTACTTACCCGCCCAACCAGTCACCCAGGTACTGCTACAGAGCTCTAAAATGGCTACAATGTTGTAAAACAATTACAAATTAGTATAAAGGTTAGTTATAACTATGTTATTTAGTTTTCGTAACAAATGTCTGTGCAGTCCACATCTACTCGATGTCCCTTTGTTCCAGGCATGAGTCCTACATAGCCAAAGCCACATCCATGCCAGATGCGGAAGACCAAAGCATGATGGGCAGATTTGTCAGGGTGGAGAGACAGGTAACAACTAAAACTACTAAAGGCAAATATTCTGCCAAGGTGTTCCTTCTCCAAACAAAGTAACTCTTTGTATTGTTTGAGATAAATTGGTTTGTCCGTGTTACCCTTGGGCTTTGTATGTTGATACATCTGGCGACAATTTAGAGTTTAATGTAATGCCGGTAAAATTTGCTAATTTAGAAAAAAACTGTCACGTTGATGAGACCAGAAACACTGGCAGACCTTTTGGAACAGGACACTTAAATTACTGTTTACAATAAAACAAAGCGCTGCACTGCCAGGGTCAGAGAACCCTCTGAATATGGCAACAAGCTGCTTCAGCTGGAGATGACTTTGAACAGCAGATCTATTCAACCCATTTGGCCCAACTGTAGCAAATATTACTAATCATGTTATGCGATTACACTTGCAGTTCTTACTCGATTTCAGTTCTGCAGCATGCAGTGACTTCTACAGCAAGACAAAAAGAGTCTATAACCTTCACCACCACCGAACTATCATCCGCTGTTTAACACTTTACAAGATAAACTGGACCAAGCTTAAAAAAAGAGACTTCCAAGTGTTTCTCTCCTGCATCTGGAGCATTGTTGTCATTGTTAGTGGTGGTGCAGGGTTCATAATTAATGGTTTTCTTTAGGAAGATTACCAAGATTAAACTGTGAAAACACCAAGTTATCAGTAAAAGAATCAACATGATATTTCTCATATCTGCAATGTCTGCAAAGGTTTTATCAAACCTTACTGAAAGCGCTGAAGGGGTTACTAACATTTCTTTACATCATATTTTGGCCAAGGTGATTGGTAAATAAACACACCTGTTATGCGATCCACTGGTTCCATTGTGTATCTCTCTTTCAGGTGGAGGACATGGAAAAGAAGTTGGACTTCCTGGTGGACATGCACATCCAGCACACTGAGCACCTGCAGGTGGACTCTGCCGGCTCTGCCCGCATGACCCTGGAGACCTGCAATCCTACGGCAAACGGTGAGATCAGACGGGTTTTCCTCAACTACGCCGAGGCGTTCCCACACATGTACCAGGTGCCTGTCAGCAAGGCGAACCCCTATTATGGCCGTGGAAGAGGAGGCAGAGAAGGGGTGGGGTTGGCAGGAGGAGTCGGCATTGCCCCTTCGGTTCATCAACCCCAACCCCCACCTTCAGCAATCATCCCCACTTACACCGAGCGTCCCACAGTGTTGCCCATCAGCTCCCTGCAGGACTTGTCAGGGGGACTGGGTAGGACCACAAGGGGGCAAGGTGGTGACTCACCGCTCTCCATGCTATCGGTTAACCATGAGGAGCTGGAGCGCTCGCCCAGTGGATTCAGCATCTCTGGGGAGCGGGAAGGGGAGAACTTCTCAATGGGGGCCGGTTTGGCGCCCGGGGACCCTGGCTGGACGAGACCCAGGCCGAGCTACCTGGCGGAGGGGGAGACGGACACAGACACAGACCCTTTCACACCAAGCGGGGGCCCCCTGCCTCTCTCCTCCACTGGTGAGGGATTCGGCGACGCTGTGTGGACCATGCCACCCTGAGAGGAAACAAATTCGGCGCAGATATCCACCACTCTGAGTTAAGATATTAAATTCAACCCAAGCCTCTAAACCCAAGCCCTGGGTCAAAGCCACCGCTGTGGACTGAACGTCTGGGGAGGTTAAGTTGGATCTTATCCGAGATAATCGACCTTCAGAGGCCACCGCAGATCTCATCATGCCGTCCACGGTCCAGTCAGAGAGCCATGGCGCTGAGACTGGCCAGAAAAAAAAAGAAAAAGGGAAACCACACCGTTTGTAAAGTAACTCTGTACAGCGCACTCTCCGCAAAAGTTTAGCTGACATAAAAAAAGAACAATAATATACATACTATATACACCCAAAAGCTTTATTGCTGCAAAGCCAACCGCACTGCATGTAACGCATGCGATTTTTAGTGTAGTCACTGCAAAGTTCAGGATATCAGGAAAAGGAAAAAGAGAACGAATGGTTACGTATACTTGCTATGCCATTTTGTAACACTTATTTTTTTATATGAATACATTTTCATTGTTTTTGCATGGTTTGCATGATAATGCACCACTGTAGGAGTTGACGATTAGAAGGTGATCCTGGAACCAAAAGTCTCCTGTCTCTAGTTGTTTGGTGTGTGTGTGTGTGTGTGTGTGTGTGTGTGTGTGTGTGTGTGTGTGTGTGTGTGTGTGTGTGTGT